TGAAATTATCGCTATCTCAGTGTGAGTGTGGGCGAGTGTGGGGGGTGTGGGCGGGTGTTTGATTCTGCAAACTACACCGCCATCCTGAGACTGGACAAGGCCCACATAATTATGACTTGAGAGAAGAAAAGAGAGGAGGAGGAGGAGGAAGAGATGAGAAGGGTGGGGAATGGAAGAAGAGGAGAGGAGGAGGAGGGGGCGGGAAAGAAGAAAGGAGACGAGGAGGGGGCGGGGAAGAAGAAAGGAGAGGAGGATGAGACGGGTGTGAGGAGACGGAGAAAGATGGAGGCGGGGATGGTGTGAGAAGGGGAGAACAAGAAAGAGGAAAAGAGAGGAGGAGGGCGGGTGTGAGCAGAGAAAGAGGGAGGAGGGGAGGAGAGGGAGGGGGAAGGAGGAGGGAAGAAGAAAGGAAAGGAGAGGCAGAGGGGGCGGGTGAGAAGGGGGCGGAGAAAGAGGGAGGAGGGGGAAGTGAGGAGGAAGGGTGGGGAAGGGGTGGGGAGGGAAGTGGAGAAAGTGTGGGGGTAGGTGGGAATGGTAGAAGGGTGGGGAAGGGGCGGGTACGCCTCGCGGCGTGAGGAAAACGCCAGATGTGTCGGCGACAAAGTGACGCGTGCTGGTCGTTGTCGGTCGTTGGTGTTGTTGTTGGCGGCGGTGGTGGTAGTGGTGGTGGTGGTAGATTTAGTGATGGGGAATCGGCACCCGGTAGATGAAATCACCACAGGCCAGTTTGTTCCTGACTGACTGACTGATTGTGTGAGCCTTGTTCTAGTCTAGCGGGGTGTGTGGATTGTTTGCGGTATGCTCACATTCTCCGTCACTTTGCTTCAGGTAAGGACGAGTTTTTAATTTATTTTTTTTAAATGTTTCTCTCTTTTTGTTAAAATAGCGTGTTGAGATGTTTTAATTGGTGTTGCCGTTTATGGTTATTTTACGTTGAAGTAGTGGTAGTTGTGGAGTTGTTATTGTTGTTGTTGCTTGTGATGTTAGTATTGTTATTGTTGTTGGTGGTGGTGTTGTTGGTGTTATTGTTGGTGTTGCTTGTGATGCTAGTGTCGTTGTTGTTGATGTTGGTGGTGGTGGTGGTATTGATGGAAATGATATTGGTATTGTTGTTGTTACTATTGTTGTCGTCTTCTTCGTTTCTGTTCATGTTTGTGATGCTGTGGCTATTGCTATTGATTTTGTTTTTGTTGTTGTTGCTGTTACTGTTTTTGTTGTTGTTGTTGCAGTTTTTGTAGTTATTGTTGCTGATGTTGTTGTTGTAGTAGTTCTGTCATGTCGGCGGATTTCTGTCATACGCACGCGAGAAAAGAGACAGACAGACAGACAGACAGACAGACAGACAGACAGACAGACAGACAGACAGA